TATTTGCAGTGGACAGCGCATGTAAACTCTACGGACCCAACCCTCGTGGCCTTTTCCAGTGTCGCGCTGCCCGGAAGCTGGCTGTCCTATTCTACGGCTGAAATTGTCAATGAACCGAGCACTATGCACCAGCATACCATTGCGCACTACACTCCGTACGAATGGTATATTGGCGTGAGTAATTATTGCGATTATTTTCAACACCCATTCATTTCAACCGACTTTAGCATCGGCGCTTCCAACTCTTCCATCAGTGGAGTCTTGAATTCATACGTCCCTCTTGCGGCTGCATCGGTAGAAGTTTCTTTGGTAAATAGTTCCTCAGTCCTCGCGGAACCTGGGGGGTTGATGTCATTACACCTAGCTTGTCATTGAACCTCTAGATCCCGGCGATTCCTTGCAATTCTGGCAGCTCAGATAGGTCCAGACCTATGGCATGAAATCAAATATATGAGGGGAAAGGACGGCGGTCGAATACATGATCTTCTACTATTGTACTCTCAGCGTATCGACCCAAACTTAAATAACTTGGATTTCTGTATTGAAATTTCATTAAATCCGACCCCCGAATGCCCTCAAACACTCTGGCAGATGGTGGGGATAGCACGGCGACGGGCCATCCTCGCGAAGTTGAAACTCATCCAGGAATATCGATTCATTTGCTGACAGATATGGATAATGCATCAATGACCGCTAACCATCTTGTGGAAGAGTCCCGGAGAGTACGGTAAACTTATGCTTGACAATAATATTCATAAAGGACATTCAATCGATCCTACTAGTCTCCTACGTGATAGATCTAACTGGTAGTGCCGGCCACCGGTGTAAATCCCCACCATTGCGAGGGTTCCACAGGATTGGAGAAGAAAATGTCGAGTGAAACAATTTCCATCATCAGCTAGTAGAAGATTAGACGGAATGGGAGTGAAGGGAGGCGAGAGGAACATACGGGAGATGGTTGATTCGCCAGGACAGTCGCCGAAAACGGCGTGTTAGCAGTCAAGACACCGCCTGAACCATTGGAGAAGTACAAACTGTTGAAATCGCGATTAGGGTCGTCCAAAGAGATATTCGATGACTGACATGCTCCTATTCGCGGTAGGCGCTGGCTGCAGTAGAAACTCGAGCGGCTCAGGATGCCCCATGGATTGTTGATAAAGACTGGCTTGACCTCCGCTGTTTGGAATTTCGGCGGAGACATGCGAAAGATAGGTCAAGGGCGAGGCAACCGAAGCAAAAGCAAAGTGAATTCCGTCCGGGTTGGTTGAAACCGCCGTCCACTACAACTCAGACTCAGTAAATAGTTACCAGAGACGGAGAATACAACAGACCTGTATGGCTGGTGGCCCCACTGCACACCTCCATACCGATCTTGGCGTAATTCATAGCCGGCGCGACGCCAGTGCCACGCAGCGTGTTATCCGGCCGTCTTGCATAATATATGCGGTACCGTTGGTCGGAATGGCAGTTATCCGGAGGCAAGGGCATAGCTGATACTGGCCAGAGCAAGGGCGAATTTGAGCATGACTTGAATCGGTTTCGGAACGAGAGAGGTGACGACTCCAGTTATATAAATTCTTGTTAGAGAATGCACCTGACCTGGACGTGACGGGGTAATAGATCCGGAGGGAGAGAGAGATCCGATTCTAATCCTATGTTGTCCGTGTCGCGGATGAAGCTTCAATCATGTCCATTGACGTCTATTGGACAGTCGGACGGTGAAGGCCAACATGTTGACGAAGTTCCTGAGCAAACCGGGCCTCAGGTACGCGAAGCTTGTGTCAATCATGACATGTAAGTGGAGCTGACAATGTTGGCAGAGGAATTGTTGTGCAGGGAATTCGGGGAGGCCACGGTGCCGGATCGGCAAGAGACCTCATCAACAGCGGCATGATCGGAGCCGGCAGTTACGGCACTGCCTTTCCTCTTGCCACCACCACACGCGTCTTGCTTTGGAGCCTCTGGGTGCCTCGCAGCTCGTTTGTTCCTTCATTTCTCGATCTAGACCTACTATAGTACTAATCTCTATCGCTACTGGGCACTGACAGTCGAACCTACTTAACCGCCATCGAGCGCAATTCGCGACAAAAAAAAAACTGCCATCCCGCCATCCAGGCCCTGGTGCGTCCACAAAATCTGAGACTCATTTGCCGGAAGACTCAACATTAGTGTTCTTAGCTAAACTTGATACCCTGGGACCAAGTCTTATCTGCACCGCGCGTGCTTCCCCGTTTCCTTCCGCCGCCTTCTCTCCTTTGCCCCACACAATGCACCATGTCCTAGGAATTGTCGAATTGGTAGAGATGATCTGCTCACATGTAGCGCCGTCAGAGGAGCTCCGAACTCGCAAGGATCTGGACGACTGGCAGAAGAAGGAGTATATCCGGACCTTGGATGCACTTTCCCAGCTTGCAAGGACGTCCAAGGCGTTCCTTCATCCGGCGCTTGACTCGCTGTGGAGCTACCAGGGCACCATCGCAAATCTTCTCCGGGTTATGCCGGCTGCATGGGAGATCAAGGAGGACTGGGGAGTGTGCGAGCAGGAGCCAGATCTTGAAATTGTGAGACCAAACCTGTGCACTTTTCTTGCCACCGTCGCTGATTCCCCTGTAGAGTTTGCTGAGACCCTTAACCTCATCAGATTGCGACCGCTTTCTATTCTATGCGCGCAGAATCAAGTCATTCAGTCTTGCCGATGAGGGCAACTTCAGAAATCCGGAAATCTACGAAATCTTGCGCGCGTCTTTCCCTGAGGAATGCCTCCTCCCGCATCTGCGACGACTGCATTGGTCTCCCGTGGCTGACGAGCTGTTCGAGCATGTCAACTTGTTTCTCTCGCCCCAAATCACCCACCTCTCCGTGCTTATAATGGAATCCAACACTCTTTTTGTGCTCGACACCTTTGCTCATAAATGCCCCCGCGTAACGACCCTGGCAATTAACTGTGATTGGCATACTCCCGGCGCCATACCACCGATATCAAAGTATCTCTGTTCGATGCACCACCTGCATTCGCTTAACGTTTCCGGTCTCGACGCGAAAGCTCTTTTCCACATCGCGCAACTCCCGGCCCTCCGTTCTTTATGTATCACAAATCATTTGGGACCCCTCCCTTCCTTCAGACCTTCGACGGGATCCCATAACTTCCCCGTCCTTATCCACCTGGAACATCATTCAAATGAATGTTCCCCCGCCCTTCTCCAGGTTATGCTCGACCGTCCATTGGTCGAATTCAAATTTTCCTCGAGCACAGCGGCAACGAGTACCGTTGTCGAGGCATTCATCTCTGCCCTGGGGCATCATTGTGCCCATGCTTCTCTCAAAAGGTTGTCCCTCCGGATGTACGTTAACAGCTTCCTTGGCAGCCCCCCGATCCCTGTGGGAGAACTTCACTCCTACGTTGTTGGAGAAGAAATACTCAAACCACTCTACTCGTTCGCTAATCTCGTCGACTTGTACGTGTTTTATCCCGTCGGTTTTGCCATCGACGACGCTGTGATCTGCAACATGGCTCGTGCATGGCCGCGTATGGATTCCCTCTCCCTTCCTCCTCACCAACCTCGCGGCTTCCCTGCAGTCCGCGTAACGCTCAACGGCGTTTATCAACTCGCAGTGTACTGTCCTCGACTGAAAGTCCTGCGCCTGACTTTCGATGCCACCACTGTTCCGAAGATCGAGACAACTTCACTCCATCAGGAAAACCTTCGTTACCTCGATGTCGCGAACTCGACTATTGCCGCAGCGCGACCAGTTGCGACATTTTTGCACGCTCTGTTCCCTCGTTTGGTCAATGTCCAGACATTGTACGACGAGACTGCGTCTGGACGCAAGATCGTGGAGGATCCGCAAGTCATTGCCTCCCGTCGCGCGTGGAAGGAGGTGGTGGGTATTCTATACGACCTCCGCTCGTAATTTGTTCATGTCTACCAACTTATTTCTTGTGGTTCGCCCGACGGTAAGTCCTCCATGGTTGCTGTATCCATGTGATTCAACCATTCTCAGGTCCTTCTTGCGCTGGTATAATTCAATCAACGTATTCAACTAGATCTTGCCCCTCATTGTTCTCGCACGTCCCGAAATTCATTAGACCAGCCTTGAGTCAATTTGAGTCGTTGCCTACTCTCTTCAGGCCCCCTGTATAAGCGCAGGTAGGGAACGGACGGTCCTTGGTTGAATTCCCGATCACCCACCGTGTGTATCGAGCAATTTTCTACACAATCAGTCACAATCAATCGAAGGTAGAGGAATTAGGGTATATGGTTTGACCGGTTTCCTGGCATTTTGCACAGTCGACAGCGCTGCGCACCGCGTGCAACCAGGTCTTCCGATAGAGTTGGGACTGCGTCGGTACTGCTTCAATTTACGGCGGCCGATTCGGGCTACTTTCCTGTGCGACTCAAGATAGACCGACGTCCCAAAGGTAAGCTTGAATAAGACACGGGGATACCACCACTTTCCATCACAAAGAACATTTTGGACTGTGTTCGACATCTCTCAACACAAACCACCGAGGTATGGGGCCGGGAGGGGGAAAATGTTGTCGGGAAATCGACTCTCGAGTCGAGTATGGGAAAGGGTTGGAACGCCAAAAGCAAATGAAATTTGAAGGTTTACGGGGAGATGGTGTGGCGGCGGGCGGGCGCTGATACAAGAATAAGCTCGAGAGAGGGAGAAAAGCCATGAGATCCATCTGCAATGCGGCCAGTGAGAATCGAACCCGCTCTCCCTCAAGGTCAATGGTCTCCGAAATCAAGTGTCAATTACAGAGGGTGATCATCATGATCCACAGCCGCTTGTAATGCGATAAACTTACGCTTGCCACGGTAGTAAGTTTTTGAAGTGGCGCAGCTGACGGGTGTCGCGTTGAAACTTGGACTGCGGAATTCAACCCAAGTTGATCGATAAGAGTGTCCCGCTTCCGTTTCAGTTGTTGTACGGGGGCCTCCAAGGCAAAAACAAGACGGCGGAAAAAACTCGATGGGGTCGATGGATGTTCACTATGCTGCCGGTGGGAATCGAACCCACGCTTTCCTCATAAACACTCGCCAGGGCGATCGATAATCAGTGGAGGACGACCGACCGCAGTCCACGGCAGCTTGGAGTCCTTGTTGGCTAGGCTCGTTAAGTATCATCGCTCCAACGACTGTCGAGGTCGTTCGTCACCGAGGGATACTGAACTTGTCACCTGGACCCAAGTTGAACCTAACCTTCCTACAAATTCCAGGTAGACCACGAGGCAAGGTGTAGCATTATACCAACGGTGTCAATCAACTGAGGCACCCGATTCCTCTCCGAAAAATGACGGAGGAATACGAGTCAATGCCGCGGTGGGAATCGAACCCACCCCTTCCTCGTAAACTTCGCGTACGACAAACAATTCAATGAGGACGATCAACCGTGATCCACAACGGCGTATATTCCTACGTGGGTGAGTGGCGCCAGTAATGCGATGTGAGCCAACATGCTATACGAGAGAACAGCGTTCATTCCCGGACGAGTGATCACGGCACGAGCATGAGCACCTGTACATCAGTATCCTCCCGCCCTGCGCGGTGCGTCGGGTATAAATTCGGTGTACGGTCAACTCCGGAGCGAACGTTACGGCGAAAGCCTCACACAGAACGCCCTACGTTCTGTGTGCCCGACACCCAAGGTGTGGCGCCAACGGGAACAACGAAGAAACCGAAAGCTGAAAAGAAGCCGGAAGTCGAGTAGGCGAGGAAGGAGGTGGAAGCAAGGAAAGAAAGAACCGGGACCGGTACAACCCGCCCACTCGCCTGCCTGCCGACACGGAAAAGAAGGGCGCAGACTAAGCTGACACGGTGGCCCAGCCGGAGACGCGCGACGCACACGACCATAAATCGCGACGAACGGCGAAAAATCAAAAGTAGAACAAGGAGAGAAAAATGGGCAGCGCAGTAGGAGTTACGCACCCATATCGGTTTCAGAGCAGGGTGGATAGCAGAGAACCGGTGTAATCGGATTCAAGGAGGTTTCACGCGCTGAGAGGAACGCGTCGAGCGTGGCACAGTGAACGCTGTAAATTTGTCTGGTAAATTGCGGCACGGTCGTCGTCAGTTGTCGATGGATCAAAAACAGGCGGAGACTTCAAGCTTCAGCTCGGACCTGCTCGGCGTTAGGGACCTGGAGACAACCGTTAGCCATATTTAACCTAAGACGAAGCGCAGAGGAAAAAGAACAGGAACTTCAGGCTAATATTGTGTAGTCCGGTGTCCGGCGCAGACGGGCGAGCACAAGCCACGAGCAGGACGAAGTGCAGACCATCTGTGTCGTGCCTCGCTAGATAGCCTAACCCGTGACGCAACCAACTCGAAAACGAAGTGCGGGTTGCCGCCCAAGAAAGATGAAGGGATGGCCTCGAAGCAGAAGCGGGAAGGACCTACCGGTCGCATTCCTATCCATCGGCGTGACCGGGTCAAGGCCGTTTCGCCGGTCGCGAGGAGGCGCCGAGATGCGCCTATTGCGTGTGCAGAGGAGATGTGTGTTGTCGTATCCACGCTGAGAACCTCTGGCGCAGGGTCGTCGGTGCTGCGACTAGAATCCAGTAAAACGTTGATGCCGCACTTCCCCAGTGGCCTTTGCGCGAAAACCCCTCGAGTGCCTTCTCTTCCTTAAGGGGTCCCGCCTCCTCTCCCGGCGCGAACTTGGACAGGCGGCTGGAGCTGCGGCCGAGGCAAAACGACCGCCGAGAAAGGCCGAGAACGCCGAGTTCGAAAACGGTCACAATCCACCATAGGCTTGTTATCTCTGCAATCCATGACGACGCTTGGGTGAGTGTCCGTTCGTTTGAGTACCGTGGAAGGGCAACGGGCAACGGGCAGGTGGTCGTCGTTGTCTTAGTTTAAAATAGTTTTTTTGTCAAATTTGATCGATGAATCCGGTGCCGCCGATGGATATTAACGGCACGGCACGTGGGTCGCGACGCGTTCAATTGTTTTAATTTTTGTCGATGTCGAGAGGGGCGGGAACGGGCGGTGGTGTTGGTTGTTGTGAAATTCTGGTGGAGGGAAAGGTGTGAGGAGAAAAAAAAATTGGGGCTTATGATAAGGCATGCCGCCGGTTAGGCTCGTGACCAGCCTGCCTACACAGCAAATCTTCAGTGCAAGCACTGTGCCGTAGGCAGGCTGGTACTTCTCGTTATGGGTCAAAGGGCTGAGCCGGAGTTTGAAAAATTTCCCCGAAGCTGGATTTTGCTCAATTCTGTAGGTCTATCAGAACTTTTTTGAAAATCGGTGAACTGGAACCTTCAATCTTGAGCTCTGTCTCTTCAGAATATTTTTTTATCCCCCAGACGGTGAGCTGCCAAAAATTCGAATTTGACGGGGAACTGATGGCTTAGCATAGCCACCGCTTCGGCAGTGATCGGCCTCTGCCAAAAAATTGAAACTCCGGCCCAGCCCTTTGACAGCTGACGAGAAGTACCAGCCTGCCTACGGCAACGTGGTAACACTTCCGTATAGGCAGGCTGGTAACGAGCCTAGCCGCCGGTTGGGTTTGAACCCGCTTCCTCCCCATCAGCTGTGCAGGTTGTGTGTAGGCAAGGGGGTAAAATTTTGTGAATGACGGAACATACGTTGGTTTTTGTTTTTTCCCAGATTTCGGTGAACCAACCACCCACGTCATACCACGTGACGTCCAAATAAGGCAATTACGGCACCCTTTCGCATACACTTTTGCCCTAACTTGGATGCAGAACGATCAACCATGCCACCAACTGCCAGTGTAAGCTACCTTTCCCCAGTGGAGACGCAAACATCACAAACTCAATTCCCTCCGACATTTCCCTGCTCAAAATAACGAAGGTGATAAGTACTGTGCAAGATTAGCGGAAGATATTTGAACTGGCTACCTGGCTTGTGTACATCCTTTTGCTTGAGAGAACCTCCAACGCCTGGCGAATTAAATCCAAGATTAAACCATCACCTCACGGCCATGAAAAATGTCCGTCCAGGCTTCAATTATCTGTTCTGCTGTCGCCATCTTTGGGCGGTCGTGCAAAATTTACTCTGATTGCGCGCGATATTCAATTTATTTATTTATTTTTTGCCCTTGGCATACCGGATCATTCACCAAATGCGGAAAACGGTGTGGATTTGGGTCGCGACGGTCGCAGAACGGTCGGGGAGGGTCGGGGTACTATGTACATTCATTCTGGGGTAAAGAGAGGCTCCAATGTGAGTTATGAACTGTTTCTGGACCGAAAAATCTTCCTTACCAAAAAAAAAAAAATCGACCTCGGCGCCCAACCAACCACCCAGGGTCCGGTACGGCATTCACGGCCCGGCACCCCCTTGTGTGTAGGCGTAGTTAACTGTAATATACCACTATGGTCCCCAGCGGCGCGTGGACTTACGAGGCTCAGAGTCGCTATACCACCATATCTTGTGAACCACGTGGAAAGTTCACTCTCCCTGGCATCAAGCTGGGCCGTACTGTACTATTTCATTCAATTCGGATGTCACGCGTCACAGGGCGAAAATATCAGAACTTTTTCGAACCTGTCACGGGTCACCGAGGGTATGTTCGAATATGCGAAACAAGTCACAAAAATGGTCAGAAAATCAAATTTTTGCGCACACGGCTTATTTTGCTCCGAAAGACCTCAGAAACACAAGTTTCAACTGATTCATGGTTAAACCAGTTGAACATGGCTCAAATTCGTCCCACAAACACTTGTTTCCTTGCTATCCGGAGGTTTCTCCCCCCGTGGGCCATGCCAAAAAATTCGAACTTTCTTTCGTGTCACGGTCCGTCCAGTCCATATTCGAAAACCGAAGTTCGAATTTTTGGGTCACAGGTCACAGCCGATTAGAATTGAATGAAACAGTACAGTAGTTTGAATTTTAGCAGGTTCTACTTTCAGTTCAGATTAGTGTTGCCGCGACTCAAGTCGCACGAATTCGACTTAACGCGCTTAGCATCCCTGGATCACATCCATTCTGGGGTCTTAGGGGTTCAGCAACTGGGGTTACAATGGGTCCATCATGGTTACACGGCATTTGGCGAAATAATGATTGACTGCGGAGAAACATGGGAATTAACGTAATTCGACTCGACTTGCCGAGTCGCGACTTCGGGAGCAATAAATTACGTATTACTCAATAACAAAGTGATGTCACCGGAAATGGCCAATACATATTGTAGAGGCATCATGTTGCTCTGTTTGACAGGTCCGATATTCGGGAAAATATGCAAGGGTGAGTCAGTAAATGAGCGAATTCGCGCGACTTGAGTCGCGGCAACACTAGTTCAGATACCCCTCGACACTCGAAGTCGTTGTATTATCTTTGCGGGGAGTGAGGGGGGGAAAGTGGTTTAAGCGCCCCTTATCCCCGTTCCTCGTGTGTTTCCATCGATAGAAGGCAAGGATGATCACCATAATCCACAGCGGCATAGTCTCACAAAACTAGGCTCATTATATCACCTTGGAAGAGTCTAAGAGCAAAGCTCATCACTTCAAACCGAAGCAGCCCGGGGCTGACGAAGAAGTCGAACCACATACGTTAGGTAGGCACAGAATGTAACTTAGATCAGATGTGGGTAGAACAGACTCGAGTGGAAGCTCACCCCGTCGATGCTGTGCCAAATCGGACAATAGTTGAAATAAAATGGGGAAAAAAAGGTATGGACTCGAGCAGCGATGCCGGCGGTGAAAATCGAGCCCACTCCTTCTTCATAAACTCCATACACTTCCACTCACAGATGATCCACTATGATCGACAAGGGCTTGCACTATAATGAACCTCGGACTGGTTACAAACTAACCGAGTGATCAAGACGGAAGAAATAAAAGAAATCCTGCTTAATACCGCACGCACCAAGTACACCCTGGCCCGGAATCTCTTCAAAGAAGAGGGCGGGTGTCAACCGTTCACTAGATCTTCTTTGACTTGTTTTTAGGCTCAATAAGCACTTCTTTGCGACTAAATGAGAAAAAACACAAAACCCCTGCATGACCTACCCCAGAATCGAACCAGGAGCTCTCGATCATTCAAATTTCGCCACAACATCAGGAGAGTGGGTGTAAATCATTTACCACCATGTCGTCCTACACCCATTCCTCTGCATATTAAAC